TCGTCGTTGTCGACGCCATCATCAGAATTCGACATCAATTTATGTTCCTCATTCACAACAGTATCATTGTCGTCGTCGTCGTCGTCATCATCAGAATCCACCATCAGGTCATGTTAATCATTCCTAACAGTATCATCATCGTCGTCGTCGTCATCATCAGAATCCGACATCAAGTCATGTAACTCATTCACAACAGTATCATCATTGTCGTCGTCGTCATCATTAGAATCCGACGTCAAGTGATGTTCCTCATTCATAACACTATCATCATCGTCGTTGTCGACGCCATCATCAGAATTCGACATCAATTCATGTTCCTCATTCACAACAATATGATTATCGTCGTCGTCGTCATCATCTGAATCATGCAGGATGGACGCATTTCGTCTTCTATCTATCAATTTCTGCGTGCCTTAGAAGTTGTTCGTTCAATGATCGAAAATCAGTAGAAGTTCTAGCTGCACGTCTTGTTGGAGCTGTATGACAAGATGTCATCCTCGAATGTGCAGCATTGTCATTGTAGAAGGAGTGGACACCACCAACAACATCATTATCATCATCATCATAGATACCGAAGGAATAGGAGTTGGTTAAGTTGGAGACGTTATGCTTGCGACGGCGCCGATGGCGGTCATTCGTCCTATTGCTGGCCATAGCAATTCAAATATGTGCCACAACCTATATCAATTAACATGGGTAAACTTAAACAACAGCCTCGCAATTGAGTAATTTCAGCCGATAACGGCTTTTATTTGCCTGATGTAATTAATGAATATATTTTTGTATGAAAGATTTTAAATAAAAATATTTATAATGCTTAAGCAAATATTTTTGTTTGATTTACTACTAATTTTCCCAAATGCAGTTCTATTTTCTATTGTACCATTTTGTCTCTTCCGTATTCGTTCAATAAATTGTAACTGATTATCACTTTAAATTATTTTTAATGGTAAATATTATTCAAAAATAATATTTGTTGATTTGCATCTAGCAAATATGGTGAAAACTGTGGGAGCACAATTTTAAGATTTCTGAATCAGAATCCTATGGACCAATCAGAGACCAGAGACAGGAGGACCAATTAACAACCAAATCCAGTACATAATTGTCATGAGAGATTGTGTGGGTTGTGACTAAGTTCCTCCTCTGTACTTTTCTCTTTACCAAAACGATTATTTTCCGCCTTTCATCTCAGTCCTCTTCGCCTTTGGGGCCGCTGGACTATCCACTATCACAAATATTGGTGAATCGGCAATGGAGATGACTTAGTATATTCAATGCTCATTAGAGCAAACATTCACAACTATTCCGGCATAGTGTTCTCAGTCCGTTTTTGTTTTACAATTACACTCAATTTCTTCCTTTGACGAAATATTTCACATTATAATAGTTTCACTAATTATTGCTTTATTTCATTAAATATCTTTGATTTGAACATGTGAATCACAACTAGGTTGAAATAGCTTCCCATCTTTTGGAATTAGAGATCTCAAGTAATAGTGATTGAATTGTAAAGGAATGCTTCACAAGGGCTGATAATAATCGCATTCTTCGACGTGGTGTGAGGTGGACTTGTTACATTCAGGTGATCGGTCCATCCACTTTACAACAACTTGATATTTCACCTGTGGAATTAAGTAAAATCCCTCCATTAGCACTCGCGACACTACTCCAATACGACGTGGTAATGAATTGCATCAACAATTACAGCGGCAATCGAGAAATTACTTAAATCATTTAAATTCAATAAGCCAAGGAAGTACATGTTCCTACACGGCGTAAGGGTGTCGATAATTGCTTTCATTGGTATGGAAAAAAATCATAGCCTCATGATTGCATGTTTTCCCGATAAAATCTTATCTTATTCATTGTTGATTGTCTTAATTAGTGAATTTTAGTTTGTGTGCGATTGTAGGAAAATTTGAATAAGTTGTTACTATTATTCAAAGAGGACCTTTTTTCTACAAATTTTTATTAATAATTTAGTAATTATTTTTGTTTGATTTACTGCATATTTTCACAAATGCTGTTTTATTTATTTTAAATAATATTTGTCAATTTGAAAATAGTAATTATGGAGAAATCTGTGTTGAAAAAATTTTGCCATGTCTAAATTAGCAGTTACATTTATTCAATGAGCAAATGGGCAAGTGATTATATGAAGTTGAATATGCCAAAAAGGCCACTAAAACAAATTTTAATAATTGAAAATTTGAATCAAATTAAAAGCGTACACTTCGTCAATTGGTTACAGACGGTCACACTAATAAGCCATCACTTACCAAGATCTTGCAATTTGTAGAAGCTCTCAGGATTAGCTAAGCCACCGGAGAGCTATGGTGGTAACTGAATTATTTTTAGAACAAGATAATTTGAGCTCATTGCGATGTCACAGAGCTTGTCCATAGAAATACAATGGCAGGTTTGTTAGACCAGGTGGGGAATATTGCGTGGCAGTGAGGGGGGTGGGCGATCTGTGAAATCAGACAGAGCTGGATTCCAAAGCATCACGTAGCTCAGCGCATGCCCCATAAGAGGGAATTCTGGTCTAGCATATTTTCATATTTTTACTATTTAGAAATATGTCTACGAGAAGATTTTTCAATATTCAAATTATTTTCGAAGGCATCCACACCGGCTGGGCTGCAAACTAATCGAACTGAAGACATAATGGTTTCCTCGATTAACTGAATCTATATTTCAACAAATGATGAAGAAATCGATTTTCTATAATCACCTTAACAACTTAAACTCTCGATAAAATATCAGTATTCCTAACTGAATCGTATTGATATGACAAACATTTAAGAAGTAATAAATTTGATCAGTGGATTTAAAATCCAGTGATATTGGGGATTGGAAGCTACAAGCAAGGACACAAATACAATAAGCAAAGAAACACCATTTTAAGCAAAATTTACATAATTTTAGAATTATTTCATGGGATATTAGACGAAAGATTTTCAAGTGGGTAGAGAGCTGGTTCCTTTCTCACATTTTTGAAATGAAGAATTATGAAGCAAAATTATTGAGCAGGAAGTAGAGAGTGAAGTGTTTTGTACATGAAATGTATTACATTTAGAAAGGTGCCGACCACATTCGTGCTCATTCGACATGTCTATCGAGGCCACAGTGTCTACCAACAAGTAATCCATTCGGTCGAGGATGGAAGTGTAGAATGTCATGCATGCGAAAACTTTCGGTCAGTACGTAGTTTCCAATCAAAAGTCTTAATGCTATTATAGGATCGCATGTTGGAAACATTTT